TGGTAAGTTTTTCTCTAGAATGTTAAGCACAATATCTAGATGTAAACTTGTGGCCGGTTGACATTTTTGTGAAAATTATACCAAAAACACATAAAACTAAGGAAAGAATGAAAGAGAAATATCAGTAATTTAATCAATTTAATCTTTTGTATCTATAAATCTCATGAACATGTGCACCGTGCAATAATTGTCAATCTAATGCAAAAAAGATGGGTCAAGATGTTAATCTACACAATTAATCTTCACGAGTATTCAACTACTCCCAAGTAAATCAATCATATCTATACTCCCAAAATCCCAATAAATCAATCTTTAATGCTCCATTTGATCGTTCTTTATTGGTTGTGTAGGTCTTAGCTTATTATATACTCCGTAATTATAATTGTGGTATATACTTCGTGCATAAGATTGAAGTAGTAGTAGGCATGAGCAGTAGAAGAGATTTAATTTTGAAGAATGTTTTCACTTAGAATTAATTTTTTTGATCTAGTGTGTTTGTTAAAATTTTGTCTGATTTAAGGATGAAACAAATCAAAATGAAAAATAAAAAAACTGAGAAAAATAACCTCTTTTAAACATGAAATAAAAATAAAAGAAAAAATGATAGTGGAACTTATCAAATACACGTTCATGATAAATACTTTAAGTCGTTTAAAAAAACATTAAGCAACATATTGGTTTTGCATAAAAAAAAAAAGCAGAACAAATAACAAAAAATGGAGAATTATATTGAATGGTATGGGTTTACTCCTATGGAGTTCTCTAAAGTTTCAAATAATCAATTATAAAAGAAAAAATTCACATAAATAATCCGAACTACTAATGGTCTTCCATTATTAATCCCAAATATTAGTTATTCTAGTATAATCTAAACTATAAGGCTGATCTTCTTAAAACAAGCCGGTGACCTGCATAAACTTATTCAACAGGTTACCCGGACACGTGGCATATTTTAATTGGTTTTCAATTATTTTTTGTTTTTCCGTTTCATTTTTTTCCTTATTTCGTTTTCTTTTATTTATTTCCTGTCTTCCGACTTTCCGCGTCTGTTGATTTCTGATCAGGACGCCGCCGCCCTCTGTATTCATCTCCAGAAGCATATCGCCATCACTACTTCGTCTCTATCAGAAGGTCGAAACCCTTTTGTCCATCGAAATGAGATGACGAAAGTAGAACCACAAAAAGAAAGACTTCGGCGGCTTTCGGTTGCTGAGTGCACACTGAGATGGAATCATGGTGGGACACAAAAGACAACAAATCTTTACATCTAGATCCAAAAACGTTTATGCTGCTAGATTTGTTTCCATTTATTAGGCTCTGTGAATTAGTTCATTTTCGGACCCGTCAAATGCATCTGGAGGCAAAAAGATAAATACGATAAAGAAGAGGAACGACCGAACGATCGAGGGGAGGAACTAAGGGAGGGGAAGTGAGAAAGAAAATAGGGATAAAATTGCTGCAGAGACAATGACAGAAGCAATCCTATGACGGAGACACCATGCTTCTTCACTGGGTGTTGATCAGAGATTCACCGGAGAAGATAACCGGAGTAATGGTTGATCCGCCATATGCAGGGGCGGACCGTAGTACAGACCCAGGGGGGCTGCCGCCCCCCCAACAATTTTTTTTAGTATGTATATATACAAAATTTTTATTTTTACCCCCCAACATTTAATTCTCGCCCCTCCAAGAAAAATTTTGAACCCCCCCCAAAAAATATTTTCTCCCCCAAAGCATAGACCACTCGCAGAAACCCAATTGTTTAAGAGCCTAAAAAAATAGAAATTTTACAAGTAATATTATATCAACTCACTCCAAAATTTATTCCCCATTAACCCACCCCAAAATCTAATCCCAGCCCACCGCCCAGACCAAACTAATGAAAAACATGCGCACCTAGAAGAAAGAAACGGAAAGATCGATTATTTTTAAATGATTGTCCTTATGCCTACTATGTTCATTGCTGAGCACATCAGTTGCAATTAGCATTGGTTGCTGCTTCAGTCTTTATTATTAATGTGACTAATTCTTCTTGCAAACGAAGTGATGAATTAAAGGAAGCTCAAGCACTTGAAATTGCAATAATGTTGGAAATTGGTGAGCTTGAAACAAGCAGATGACTTAATTAGGTTGGTACATTACAACAAGCTGGGGAAACTCGTTGGAGCTCACATTTCAGTTCTATTTGCAGTTTGATTAGGATGTTTGCAGCAACTTGTTTTGTTTTAGAAGACGTTGAAGAGAATGGAAATAACTATTCTACTCGTGGAAATGCAGCTAGAGAACTTAAGAAGATTAAATCTTTTGATTTTGTTTTCTTGTTGCATCTTATTAAAGAAATTATGGGCATTACAGATCTTCTATGTCAGCATATACAGAAGAAGTGCCAAGACATAGTAAATGCTATGCATTTGGTGTCAAGCACCAAAATGTTGATCCAAAAGTTAAGGGAGGGTGGATGGGATAACTTCTTAGAAATTGTTAAAGAGTTTTGCACAAAGCATGAAATTGAAGTTCCTAATATGAAGTCTCCTTATATGGTAAAACGCAAACGCCATGATCAAGAAGGGTTTGATATTGAACGTCACTATCGGGTTGATATGTTTTACGCAGCCATAGATTCATAATTGTTGGAGCTGAATAACAGATTCGGTGAACAGATAATGGATCTTCTTACTCTTAGTGGTGCTTTGGATCCTAAGGACTCATATAAGTCTTTTAACATTGATGATATATGTTCTTTAGTGGATAAATATTACCCCTTTGATTTTATTGAGCAGGAGAAGGTGAGCTTGAGGTTTCAATTGCAACATTATAAGCTCAATGTTCTAAACCATCCAAAGGTGGCGAATTTTTCTACAATGGGTGAACTTTGTCAAAGATTAGCGGAGACGGAGATGTCAAAAGTGTATTCTTAGCTTGTTGATAAATTCATCCAACTTTTGTTGACTCTACCGGTTTCGACAGCAACAACCGAAAGGACTTTTTCCGCAATGAAAATTATAAAAACAAGGCTTCGCAATAAAATGGAGGATGAGTATGTTGCAGACAACCTTATTGTTTATATTGAAAGAGAAATTGCTAAAACTTTTGACTAAAAAGCCGTGATTGAGGAATTTATCTCGTTGAAGAAACATTGGGTACAATTCTAAGGTACTAACTTTAAGTATTTTGTAATAATATATTTGTCTCTTCTATTATAATGCTTCATTGAATTACTACTCCGTATTATATTAAGGTTATAACTTATAATAATAATCGCCTAATTTTTTTTTGTTTAAATTATCGCCCCCCAATATCAATTTCCTGGGTCCGCCCCTGGCCATATGGGTCATATGCTCTGCGATGATTTCTTGTTGGAAAGGAGGGAAACGCTAGAAAGGAGATATCCATCTCTAATAGAGCAAAAAATAAAAAAAGATATACTATCGTACTCCGTAGAGCAAAAACCATGGCTATTTTGCCTGTTTAGAAAGTGAAGTTGATAACGTTTGGAAAAGCCGGACAAAGTGAACTGTTAATCTTTTTTTAATAATTTCATTTTATTGTTTACCGGCTGAGCAAGTTGTAGGTCATCCGGATCAACTAGAGAAGATGCTCTATTAATTTCGGATTATTCTGGAATTACTTATAGTTGAGATTATTATTAGAAGGCTACTAATAGTTTGGATTATTAGTATGAATTTTTCCATTATAAAAATCTAACACATTACTGAAATAAGTATTATGTACTCCGTATAAAAACATTACTAAAGTTAATATACTTATATGTGTCAACATGGGCTCAAATGCTCAATGATATAAATTTGAATATAATCGCAATTACTGAAAGTCAGTATTATAAAACAAGAATTTCATTTTTGCCCGCTAAATTATGAAGAAATCATCATAAACAGCTAAACACATTAATTAATTATATTTAATCCCAATCAAAAGTAAATTTTATCTTTCCGTTTTGTCAACAAAGCATCCAAATTGGTAGCCGCCCTTTACGATCAACAATCAGGACGGAGTGCAAAATACTCCATATGAATTAAATAGAGAACTAGAGGGTTTAATGCGCTTAACTTCCAATAGAGAACTATGTGATTTTACAAATGTGTCAAATGCATGAGATTCACCTAGAACAAATTCAACAATTTGAAAATAATTTATTTTAATATTTTGATTTAGTATGCATGCAAACTTGTCAAGATCTCTAAATTGATCAAAATATTACTCAATTTCATTTATTTAGTACTCCCTCCGTCCCGCAAAGAAGTTCCCGCTTTCCTTTTTTAGCAGTCCCAAAAAGTTCTCATTTCCCTAAATGGAAAGTTATCCTACATCAAAAGAGTGTCAAACAGTGTCAAACAGTGCCAACAGTGTCGAAACAATATCAAAACAATAAAATTTACCCTCTGGTAAGTTTATTTCCTTAATATGTATGTAGGTCAAACCGAGAACTTCTTTGCAGGACGGAGGGAGTAATTAAATCTTTTTATAGAGGAGGTTTTGAGCATGAATAATTATCACACATAAGAGTGTGATGCATTGAACCGGAAATAAAGTAAAGAAAAATTTCAGATCTTGTCTAGTTTATATGAAGCATATTTTAAACAAATCTAATCAAAGAGGTGTTTAGAAGTAATTCTGCTTCTGCTTCATTTGCAAAGTGAGTTTCCACCGACTTCTAAAACCTATTTTTATGAGCAATTTGGAGTATTCCTGAGACTATTCTTAAACTTTCACCTAAACATTCCAATATCTAGCTACTTCTTAGGGGTTGTTTGGAACTCATTCTACTTTTGTTTTTTTTTTAAAGTAGAAGCAGAATCACAATTAGTTTTCATATGTTGGTCCTTCAGTTTCTAAAAAAGTGATTCTAGAAGAAAATTAGAGCATTAGAATCACTTCTATACTTTCACTCTAGAAGGAGTTTTAAGAATAAGATCAAGTACCTCAAAGAGAGTGCAATTTTGTTCGCCCCTCCTTGGAGGGTGAACATAACCCTCCTCCCTATTTGCTTGCCATGTTTCAAAAAAAGAAATGAAATGTCAAATGACAACATTTAAGCTATTGGGGTGATGTTCACCCTAAAGGAGGAGGTGAACAAAATTGCACTCCCTCAGTCCCTCGAACACCTCAAGAAAAGCACTTTGGACAAGTAGCACCTATTCTGAAACGTAGCTCTTTGCCTCATTTTCAAACATCCAATAGGAGTTACAGTCAAAAGACGGCGTTGCGGCAGATGATTGACACGTAGCCATTCATCAATTTCGTATCTTTGCCTCAAATATCTCCATCTTCATCCCAAATCTCCTGATGTGCTCTGCTAAAAATCCTCTGTTTTCCTCACCCACAAAGATTCCCACCAACTTTAACCATGATCCTACAACGTTTGTTCAGTGTCCTGATTCTCACCTGTTCGATTTGTCTGAGTTCTTGTCCGGGAACGCTAGAAATGCGGAATGCTAAGAAATCCATGGCTTTGCCCCTGAAGGCTCAAGGAATGAAATCCAGGTCCTATCTCGGAGACCCGCTTCATCTGAAGATCACCCAGAACGTGACCCTCACGGTGTCTCTGGCCGTCGGGTCGCCGCCGCAGATGGTGACGATGGTGCTCGACACCGGGAGTGAGCTGTCTTACCTGCGGTGCCACGGAACTCAGAATAAGCAGCCCGTTTTTGACCCGAACCGGTCGCCGTCCTACTCGCCGGTTACCTGTTTGTCGCCGGACTGTAATAATCAGCTCCGAAAACAGGAATCCTCCATAACCACTGGCTGCAGCCCCTCGAACAACTGCACCGCCGGGGTCTCCTTTGCCGACTTGGGGTCGGTAGATACGAGTTTGGCGAAGGACACGATCAGCATTGCCGGGTCGAACTTCAACGATACAGCATTCGGGTGCATGGATCTGGGTTCAAGTAGTAACTCGGGAGAAGACTCAAAGACCACCGGGCTAATGGGTATGAACCTTGGATCTCTTTCTTTCGTTTCTCAAATGGGTTTCAAGACATTTTCGTACTGCATTTCAAGCTCGGATAATTCGGGCCTTCTGGTGCTGGGCGACTCGGGCTTCAGCCGGGCCAAACCTCTGAATTACACCCCGCTGGTTCTGTTGAAGAGCACATCGCCAAATTATAACCGGGTAGCATATACAGTCAATCTCACGGGCATAAAAGTGGCGGACAAATTGATACCAGTATCGCAATCCGCATTCAGGATCGCCGGTAACGGTGCGGGTCAAACCATGGTGGACTCCGGGACCCAATTCACCTACCTTCTCGAGGAGGCTTACACTGCACTGAAAAACGAATTCTGGAATCAAACAAAGGAAATCCTGGAGGTATGCCACGGTTACGTGTTCCAAGGGGCAATGGATCTGTGTTTCCGGGTCAGATCCAACCAAACGAGCCTGCTGGTATTGCCGTCGGTAACCTTACTATTGGAAGGGGCCGAGATTGAGATTCCGGGGAACAGGTTGCTGTACCAGGTTCCGGGCGATGTTTCCGTTCACTGCTTTACATTTGGCAGTTCCCAGCTGCTAGGGACGACGGCTTATATAATTGGGCACTATCACCAGCAGAATCTGTGGGTCGAGTATGATCTTGTCAATTCTCGGATTGGTTTGGCTCACTTCACATGCAATTTTTAGTCGATAATAAAACTTGTGAGTTGTGACAAACAGAAATATTTTGTGAACAATATATACTTATTGTATAACACTCTGTATAATGCTGCACTCTTACATGTATGCGCATGAGTATTTTTTATTCATAGATACAACTATAGAAGACAACAATATATGTGTCTGTGTATGAGTTGAGTTTCGCTACTATATACTACTACTTCCTATACTACTGTTTTTATTTGTTTTTATTTAGCTGTATCTATTTTTGATTAGTTTCATGTTTGTCAACGCATAAGTTGCCTGTCAATGTATTATGTATACATCGTTTACAAATTCTGAGTGACTATAATTTTTAAGGCTAGATGGTGCAATTATGGTACAACTTTAAGACAGATCAACATGAAAGTCTAGCAGCACGCACACTGCGCCGAGACACAACGTATCGTCAATGAACTCCAATAAGCCACTACAACTCAACCATCGCCAGAGCCCGAAGATGTGTAAGTGTGTAACCCTACTCGTTATTACATTTTGATAGTTGTTGAGACCATCTCCTTCATTCTCCTCACCCAACCGTCGCCATCATCATGCTCATTTCTCGCCAATAGCAGTCGGCTCCTTCGTCACCTCCATTGGCATAGCGGAAAGGAGCAGTCTTTGCTTTCGCCATGTCGAGAACAAATGGAGAAGAAATCGCCCACTAGAGAAATAGAAGAAAAGAGCTGCAAAGGATGGCAAGTAGGGCGACTTGAAGAAATATAAGGGAGAGATCGATAAATATGATGCTTAGAGATTGGGTGAGTGAGACGAGAAATTACAATTTTATTAGATTATTTATAGGGTGGTGTTTTAGGTCATTCATTTATAATTAGTCTCTTTTTATCTAATACACACCTCACTTTTCTCAATAACAATCAACATTACACAAAATATTTTTTGTCAAAAGGAATGAAAAACAAAAATAGAAAAACTGCAAAGTAAATGTGTGAATAACATATTATGATAGCGGGAGTATTTGAATACACTATTGTTATTCAAATGTGTGAGTACGTTCTAATGGCAAAATTATTGTGCTAAATAAAAATAATTTGTAGAACTTTATATATAAGTTCAAGAGCCTTATTTTGTCAACACCATTACACCAATTCCATTGTGTGGTTGGTGTATTCATTCTAAACTACAAATAGATAAAGCACTATCTTTAGGCCGGTGAGTCTTGTGCTTCAAACCGTTAAGACTCGTGGTTCCATCCTAAAAGGTCAACCTGATAGGAGGATCCGGAGTAGCCTAAATCTTTATATAATGTTTAATTGTTTTATAGCTTTCCGATGTGGGACAAATGCTTTAACACGCCCCCTCAGCCCCACAACCGGAATTGGCTCTGATATCATGTTAAGACCCGTGGTTTCATTCTAAAAGGTCAACGTGATAGTAGGAGTAACCCAAAGCCTTATATAATGTTTAATTGTTTTATAACTTTCCGGTGTGGGACAAATACTTTAAAACAACCCCCCCCCAAATGAAAAGTTCGAAGTCCTAAAGTTTAAATATTTTTATATTATATGTTTGTGTGCGTGTGTGTCTGAGTGTATTTAGGATGTTTTTACTTGGACTGTAATTCGCTGGTCCGGTCTGGTCTGATTTCTTTATATTTTTATAACTACCTAAGTTCAATTTGGTCTGATCTTATCTGGTCTGTTTTGGGAGAAATTGCAGTCCAAGTAAAAACATCCTTAATATAACAAACAGAAACTACACATGTTGTCTAGCTTAAATAGTCCACTACATAAGTAACAAAACTAGCTACAAGCCGATCAGCGATGTAATGAGCAATGTCACACACCACGAGCAGTAGGAGCCAGGAGGAGAAAGAACAAACCTGAGTGTCTCTCATTCATACTTGGCATGTAATGTTTTCATCTTTCTTGCTTCTATCTTTTAAACTTTGTACCTGTTGATATGCTATTATTTCCAAAAGAACTATTGACAATGAATTATTGAATTGTGATATCCCTGAGGAGAAAGAACAAACCTAACTAAGTGTCTCTTTCTTACTCCCCGTATTGATTTGCTAATTTGATGAATTATTAATTTGTGAACCGACAATGAACTAATTTATTATTTTCTAATTACAATAATTGTTGAGCTATTGTAGAATATTGGTTCAGAGTTTGAAGTATTTGAAGAAATAAATGTCATTTAAAATTTAAAAAAGCAAACAAGATGGTTCTTGTTTGAATAAAATTTAAAAGCAAACGGAGTGATATTAATGAAAATAAGATCACACTCAATCGAACCCAAAGGGTATTTTCTACGATACTGTTTTAGCTGAGGATATTAGACATATGATGAGTTGATGACAGGGTGTGCCGATATTTCTGTCCAGTATGTGCGCGGTCAGCGAATAGAGTTATAGATGCTTTAACTAAGCAAGCTATTCAGGAGCTAGTCTGACTATTCTTGATTTAATATATCACCTTTATGTATTCGTGATCTATCTTTTGTTGAACGATTCTGATTAATGAAAGTGTTATTTTTACAAACAAACAAAAGATCATACTCAATTGTGTAGCTGAAATTTGAATCTTTATATTGAGTCGGGGTGTGAATTGAAGTTTTTTTAATACTATCTCCGTTTCTAAAAGGTTTGTTATGGTGACGTTTTTTTATCAATAATAACAAACTTTAGGCAATAATTTTAATAAATATATTTATATATAATTTATAAATTTTATACTTTATGAAAATAATTTTAATAGGGAACATTTTAATACAACTTTTATATTCTAAATGATTTCATATTAAAAAATATCATTGGTCAAAGTTGAGTGTCATCAATCAACAAAAGTCAACTTGGCAAACATTTCTTGGACACGAGTAGCTAGTTAAAATATGCATATTCTTTTAAGGGAGAAAACTTATTTTTTTATTCATGAGAGTAACAAGAGATAAAACAATACAATGGCTCAAGACTACACTGAGATGCCATATAGAATCGATTAGCCTAGAGGACCGCATATTCGCTAACCCTGCAACGATGTAGACTAATCTAACAGCACCGCTAAACTTGCTACTCAAGTTAATAGTGTAGATTTAATTATGTATTTATTATTAGTTAGTTTCCTTATTGTATTGAGACTTCTCCTATTATAAATATACTGTCAGGGCTACCAGTCTGGTTAAGCCTGTTCATTATTCTCACAAGGTATCAAGAGCCCTTAGGTTTTAAATTTTTTTTTAGTTCCTATGGCGTCTCTCACTTCGGCCGGTACCTCAGCCGCAGTCGCGCCGTCAACCGCGGCAGCGCCGGCGATCTCTGCTTCCGTCACCACCGCAGCAGCGTCAAACCTCACGACAGCGCCGGTTTCGTCCATGATGGCTCCCGTAAGTTTCACGTTTGGATCCAATGCATCCGTTTTACAGCCTGCTTTTGCCCCTTTGTCGTTTCCTCAGGCTTCGTCAGCCCTGGATATGTCAGCCTGGGCTCCGCCGGTCTTCGATTGGTCCCCATCTCCGTCACGTGGACAGTCCAGACCGGATACCACAGGTCCGTCCATCGGTCTTGATCCAAAGGTGCAGTATGCTGGTCCCACTTTTTCTGGTTCGCCAGGTGTCAATCCGCCCCCAGCGGTTCGTCCAATAGGTGTTCGGCCAGGCCCCTTGGCAACTTCTGGTTCGGCGCTTGAGGCTATTGTTCAGTCTATGGGATTTTCTACTCCGAATGTTACTAATATTGTTACCACCAAACTTGATACGGTTGAAGATTATGTTCCCTGGCGGACTCAATTTGAGTCTTTTTTGGTTTCTCATGGACTGTTGGGTTTTCTGGATGGTACTATTTCTGCTCCCTCTCCTTTTGTTCTTGATGCTCTTCGTAGGGAGGTTGCTAATAATGAGTATTATTACTGGCTAAAGTTAGATCAAACAGTTCGTTCTTGGTTGTTTGCTACTTTGTCTCGTGATATACTCATTGAAGTTCATACATTAAAAACTTCTTCCGCCATATGGGAGTGCTTGGAAAATCGGTTTATGGCTGCTAGGGGTAACTAAAGAATTCCTTAAATAAAAGCATCAAAATAAATCAAGTCTCTTGGTTTTACCAGCCACCGTGAAGGGAGAAGAGGTTTGTCTAGCCACCTCCAAAGAAAGCTTCCAAATTTTACCAGCCACTGGAAAAGGAGAAGAGGTTTGTCCAGCCATCCCCAAAGGAAGCACCTCGTCAACAAGACTTGTCAGTATTCCAGGCGGTGTTGTTCTGGAAGCACAACTGTTCAGGCCGTTTCTTTGACTCGTCTCCATCAACCTCCATCTAGACTTGAACTTCTACCAGATTCAGCACATTCACAGCTCTTTTTTTCCTAGATTCTGGTAGGAAATTGATGTAACGTACCTCGAAAGTACGACAACGGAAGTTTAAAATTTTCTCAAACAGATCTTTCCTGATTATGACAAAACAAAAAATATAACAATAATAATATATCTGAGTTAGAACTTACAGTTCTTCCTGAATATAGTTTAATCTAGCTAATATTTAATCCATTTTCAGTATTACGAATTAAATATTCTTTAATCCAATTAATATTTAATTCCTTCTAACAATTCAATCGAAAGGTATAATCACTTCTTGTGTGACCCATAGAGCCGTATATATTAAGCACTAATCAAATTAAGATCTTAGCAGAATCCCTAGATGATTTACTAGACAAACTTAATATATAAGGACGTTTGCGAGGGCTATTCCAACTCCCTGTAAAATAGAGTTCACAGTGATACAGTCCTTTCATTCAGGGAACATTCAACTAAGTCTAGAACATGATATTGTGTTTATTCCAATAACTTAGTTTATGTCTCAATCTTTCTAGATGATCCATAACGATCATATGCGATATCCAAAATGAATATATTTTTGCATTGGTCAATGACTTTATGATCCATCTAGATATGAGAAGTAGAATGTTCTCTCTTAATCTATTACGAGGAATGAATCCTTTCTTGGTTCAACTAGTACTCCATGTGCTTTGTGATACACCCAACACATGTCGTATCTACACTGATTGGAGTGCAAGCGTTGGTCATTGTCAAAGTACATCACTCCACACATGTAGTATGTATTGACCTCAAGTCGGAGGACTATTACATTATACGCTGATAATCCCATAGACACATGAATAGAACTTATCAAATGGTTTCTCGGTGGGCATACCAATATTCTCTAAAATATCTA